TTTTGGAGGTCGCCCCCGGGGGGGGGCGGCCCCGCCGCCGCTCCTTTCGGCTACGGTAGCCGGAAGATTGGCGCGTTGGGAGATGTTGGGTGGATTGAGTATCTGCTGCTGCAAGCCAGTTCTGTTGACCCCTCTCTCTCTAGCTCTTTTCGGTGAGATGGAATTCCTCCCACAAACATAAAAGTAGTTTTTTTAAAATTAATTAATGAAAAATCTTAAAATTCTTAAATAAAAGTTTAGAGTGACACTAATCATTTTAATTGATAAGAAAATAGTTTTCAAAATAATATTTATTTATTTAGAGGTGTAACAGTCGTATTCACTCATGGTTTAAATAATATTTTCAGAGATATAATATTCAAATATGAGTCACATCTGTCATGTCTAAATGTCAGGCTTGCGATAAGTAGAATGGAAGATAAAAATATCTTTTACAATATATATTTATTCCGTTATTTTATAATTTCAGTTATTGCATAAAATAGGAAAATTTGCAGCAAAAACTCACGTATAAAATAGGTAAATTTACTAACATACCGCACTGTTCTGTTTGTTAAAAAAAAAAAAAAAGAAAAGAGAAGTTTACATAGACAAGCTAAAATTCAGATGTAATTATATATCTCATGCTTAAATTTTCATATAAAACTTCAGTCTCTTAAAGCTATATATGAGAAGGGGCGTTTCACTTTTATAAAAAGGTAACAATGTTTTTTTAATGTCAAATATTTGAGTCTATGTACCTAAATATACAAATTTAGGTGTGAGATATGGAAATGCATAAGAATTATGTGCTATGTATATAATGCCCAAAAAAAAGTAAAAACGCATTAAAAAAGATTCTTTTTTTACAATCTTCTAGTACCAAAAGCGCATAAAAATGTAATTGTTTTACATTTCTGCTGCAGCTCTGCTTTAAACGACTACATATCAACTATAAAAAACCTATCTTGCGAGCTGCTGGAGCTCATGGCGGAAGGCCTGCGTCTCCAGCCGAAGAATATCTTAAGCAAGCTTTTAATGGATGAAGAAAGCGATCTAATCCTCCGGCTGAACCACTACCCGCCATGCCCATCCTCTCAACAGCTCAACATCTCCGTCACCGGTTTCGGCGAGCACACAGATCCACAGGTAATCTCCGTTCTCCGATCAAACAACACCTCCGGGCTTCAGATTCTGCACAGAGATGGGAGATGGGTCCCCGTTCCTCCCGACCAAACCTCCTTTTTCGTCAATGTCGGGGATTCTTTACAGGTAATCAATAAATACTCTGTTTTCTTTTCGGCGCAGAAAGTTGCAATCTTTCTACTGTAGAAGAATCTGAAAGATTTTATTTGTCTTTAATGGAGTATGCTGCAGGTGCTTACGAATGGGAGGTTCAGGAGTGTTAAGCATAGAGTTTTGGCGAATAGTTTACAGTCGCGGCTGGGCGGTGATTTTTTTTGGGGGGCCG